AAATAGTGTTAGTTCTGTTCCTCTTGCCACCCTCCCCTCTAATGGTGTTTGAAAACCTGCATCTCGATGCTGGTTTTCAGAGTTATTTCATGAGTTGGGAGAAAATATAAAAGCCTTTGAGAATCTGGCTTTTTTTATCCTAAGCATTTTTTAATACACTGCAGAGCAAAATGACATTTTTAAATGTACGGGAGAGCACAAAGCATCAAAGAGCTCATGGGTACAGCCTGTGACTTCCTGGAGCCCTGCATTCTTAACTGTCAGATTTTAACAAATACTCCTCTAGATAATTGCTTAATTACTGTATCTGTCAAGAAAAAGCCTTCACAGCCATCAAGTACTAAGTATAAAAATATGCTTTCATCCTGGAGTTTGAAAAATCATTCCTGAGATTTCAGCAAGACAGAAGCCCAGTGGCACATGGTCACTTTCAGATTTGTAAGGATAAAACTAGATGGAGAGTAAAGGATGCTGAGGTTAGGGGGAGCACATGGAAGAATTATATCGATACTTACCTGTAGGAGGTCCTTTTCATTCGAGGGTCTCTAAAATACTTTGCAAAATGGAAGTAGATAAGTAATATGATCTGAATTATACCAAGTTAGTAAAACAAAGAAATGAGGTTTTGGATCAGAAAGGCCAGGGCTTTTATGCAGCTCTGGTACTCCTGCTGAAACTTAGCAGAAACTACATAACCTCTCTGAGACAAAATTTGGTTCATCTCTACTATGGAAATGTCAGCATCTACCATCGACTTGTTGAGAGGATTAAATAAAACAGTGTATTATAAATACTTAGTACAGTGCTGAATATATATAGGGGGTCCAAAAAGTTATACAGTCAATTCCCATTATTCATGGATTCCACAGTTTGCTAATCACCTACCCTCTAAACTTTATTTGTAACCCCAAAGTCAATAGTCGGAGGTGACTTCACGGTTATTCACAGACATGCACGGGGAGGGGAAAAGCTCGAGTCGCGTCATGCACACGTTCCCAGCTGAGGCTGAACGAGCAGCACTCTGCCTTCTCGTTCCAGCTCTCACACTGTAAACAAGTGTCCTTTTCATATTCTATTTAGTGCCATGTTTTTCAAATTATTGTGCTTATTGTTGGTGATTTCGCTTCAGTGCCCCCCCCCCGCCCCAGGTATAGTGCTGTAGTGCTGCCTAGTGTTCTTGAACACAGGAAGGCTGTGATTTGCCTTATGGAGAAAATATGTATGTTAGATAAGCTTTGTTCAGGCATGAGTTATAATATGAATGAATCAACAATCTATTAAACATAGTATCTTTAATCAGAAACACTAATATATAAAACAAAGTTATATATTAATCAACTGACAAAAATCTTGTGACCAGAGGCTCACATGGGCCTAACCCTTTGGTCTCTCCTAGGAGCAATGGTTCAGGTATTTGCTAACTCAGTGTTCATGGCAACTGTAAAGAACTTAGCTACCATGAATAATGAAAATCAGCTCTAAACTTATGGCTACCAGGGGGTAAGGGGGTGAGGGATAAATTGGAAGATTGGGATTGACATATACACACTACTATATATAAAATAGATAACTAATAAGGACCTACTGTATAGCACAGGGAACTCTACTCAATACTCTGTAATGGCCTCTATGGGAAAAGAATCTAAAAAAGAGTGGATATATATATTTGTATAATTGATTCATTTGCTGTACATCTGAAACTAACACAACATTGTAAATCAACTATACTCCAATAAAATTTTTTTAAAATTTGAAAAAAGAAAAGGAGAATCAGTTCTATTCAATTTAGTTGTATATTAGGTTGGTTAAATATTAGTGACTCTAACAAATTAACTCCAAACTCTCCATGGCTTAACACAGAAGTTTATTTTTCATGAATGTAAAGTCTAATCAGGTGTTTGGCAGATGGCCTTAAAATGGAGAGTCAGGGACCCAGACTCATTACATCCATGGCTCTGCCCACAGTAGAACCTTTGCTTCCAGCCAGTGGATGGAGGAAGACAGAAAAGTAGTGGATGGAAAGTCTTTATGGGCCAGCCTAGAGACAGAGCACATTGCTTCTGCCTTCATTCTGTTGGCCAGAGCTTAGTCACATGGTCACACCTAACTGCAAAGGAGGCTGGAAAATATAATCTGTGTGCTGAGGGGTTACATGAATAGTTGTGCCACAATTCTCCTTAAAATTATTTCCTACAGTCATTTTTCTTTGGATAAATGGCAAAACCCTTAGGTAAGAGACATTTAAGTTTTGTAAGTTACTCTTCTGAACCCATTACCATTCTGCACCAAGGGAAGCAAGTCTGTCTGCTCTCATGTGTCTTAGTTAAAAGATAAAATCCTTATATAATGAGACCATATTTTCTCTCGTTCTGTTACTACTTCAGCCAACCCTTTATTCCCTGCTATAAATTTTTGACTGAAATTATTTTGCCACTGAATTAAGGATCATGTAAAGAATATACCCAACGCCTTCTATGAAAGAAAGTGTTGAAATACAAACAACTGATCATTTATATTTGTTTCAAGTAATTTGTGGGCTCACATCCAACTTGCTTTAGCATTCAGCCAGTAAAATGCCAACTTTGTCTGACCCTACGTTACTGTGTGTATTAGATTATATAATAAAATAATATTGATGCTACCTGGAAGAAGTGTTTACTGTCCTCTGGGATCTCTGCCCAATTCTACTATAGTTTTATGCTGTGGACTCTGATGAGTATTTTTTTTTTTCAGTCTTTCTGTCCTAGTTTTACTATCAAGGAAAGAGGCAGTGACATAGTAATTATCAAGCCCCTTTCAGGGGACTGCTTTATAGGACAATTGTGGTCTTCTATAATGATCAGCTCATGCACCTCTTTGGAACTCTTAAGAAAACTATCATGGACTCTTTCTCCCCAGAATTGAACTTATACATATATTTTATACCATTCAAAATGTCTATACCATTTTAGGGGATTCTAAAACAGGCCAGTACTGTATGATCCAGCAATTCCATTCCTAGGTATATGTCCAAACGAATTGAAAGCAAGGTCTTGAAGAGATATTTGTACACCAGTGTTCATAGTAGTATTAGTCAAGATACCCAAAAGGTAGAAACAACCCAAGTGTCCATCGACAGATGAATGGATAAACAAAATGTGGCATATACATATAATTGAGTAATGAGGAATGAAATTCTGGTACATGCTACAACATGAATAAACTTTGAAGACATTATGTTAAGAGTAATAAGTCAGATACAAAAGGACAAATATTGTATGATTCCACTTATTTAAAGTACCTAGAATAAGCAAATTCACAGTAACAGAAAGTAGAGCAGAGGTTACCAGGGTTTGGAGGGAGTAGGAATGGGGAAGTATTGTTTAATGGGTACAGAATTTCTGTTTGGAATGATAAAAAAAAAGTTCTGAGAATGGATAGTGGTGATGACTGTACTTGATACCACTGAATTGCATACTTTAAAACTGTTAAAATTATAAATTTTATGTTGTGTATATTTTACCATAATTTAAAAAAAACAGTCACGTTGAAAAGAGCCTGGACGTGAGAACCTGATAAGCCTGGCTGGGTTCCAATCCCAGGTCTACCAGTTACCAGCTGTGTATGACTTGGGTAAACTACTTAGTGTCTCAGAATGTCATTTTCCCTACCTATAAAGTTGGGAATAAACTACTGACCTTAGAGGATTGTTGTGGAAATTAATGTGATTAGCCTGCCACATATAGCCACTATTTAAAAAGGTAAAGAAAACTAGTATATATTAAGCAAGCAAAATCCAGTGGACTGTGTTAAGAATAAAGTACCACGTTACATAATTGCTTTTTGCCTCTAGGAAATAAGAATATTAACACAGAATAATACAGGAGGGCAGCAACTGAGTCTATGGAGCTGCTCCAGGAGCCAGAGCTGTCATATCCCCTCCTCTTCCACCTCCTGTTGCAAACAGTAAAGGCCCTTCGTACAGATAAAAAAAAAATTGAATAATACAAAGGAGGTAGGATTTTAGCATTGAAGAAACAGAGGTACGGGACTTGTTCGAGCTTTCCAGTGACTAGAAGGACAGAAAGAACACAAAATTACCCTTGCCTAAGTCTGAGGTTTATTTCTGTTTCTGCTTAAATTGCTTTTAGATTCTCTACGTTTTCCTCATTTTTGTAAACTGTTGGGGATTTTCTGCAGTATAGGTTTTAAGTCTTTGCAGTGTGTCTTGATATAGATTTGATAACACAAATCCATATTCAAACCTATGCATGCAAACACACACTCTACAGAGCAAGGCCATATTTATCTGGAGATCAGACATCCTACAATATTAACTCTTTGGGACATAACCATTTTTGCAGAAGCATGCCCCAAAGCCCTCCGTGTAGCAAATGCCAGATATTAAGTCTTTGCTGAGAAGTGTCATGACCCCACGCAGATGACTGTATAGAAACCACAACAGCAAAACAGCAAGCAAAGTTAAGAGTGACAGCAGAGAAGGAAGCAGGAAGATAGCTAATGCCCGTATAAGCCTGGCTGGAGGCTGGCAACATGAGTAACCGCTGAGCCTGCCACATTCAGAAAAGGTTAAATTTCATTCCATTTGCTCTGCTTAGGAAAATGGGGGTATGTGCAGAATATTTTTAAATTGCATCCAAAATGATAAAAGTTTAATGCTTAAAGAGGTAGAATCTGTTATTTGCAGTACTCATTATGGAGTGAAGTGTTGTTATTTATTAATACGCTCTGTTTACACTGAGACATAAATAGCTAAATTTTATCTGTTTTGTCACCTAATTCTTTCTAAAATCTAGCTATTTCTTTCAGTCTCCAGCACTTGACACAATGCCTGCCTCACAGTGGGCACTCAGTATTTATTGAAAGAAGAATGAATGAATGAATGAGCGGGCAAGTGAAGGAATGAAACTACCTATAACATTTGTATGCCTGCCTGACGTGTATTACCTGTGCGTGAATAAAGACATCCAAGTTTAAACTCACCCTTTTCTCCTTTTCAGAGCAGAGACCATTCTCCTGGGACCATTCCTAAGAAAGAAACACCCACGCTGTGACATATGCCACTGCCACCGCCACTGCCACCTCTGCCTCCGCCTCCCCCCCCATCAGCGCCCCCGGTAAGACCTGGGTTTTTCTTTTTCAGTCTGGTTTACTTGAATACACTTGAGCAGGTTTTAAATGTTCAGAATCAGCCACCACCCAGCTCTGCTATGGCAGGTGGCATCTTTGGTAGCTGGCTCTACGGCTCCAGGGTCTAATTCCAAACCAGCCTGGCCAGGTATTTCCCTTCCCGTTCCGTGGCAGCTCCCACCCTCTACCTCAGCGTCGTCTACATGATTTCTCTTCTAATTCCTGCTGCTCGATACAGGCTTCCCAGAGTCTCCCTAATCGACTGTTTCATCTCACGGGAAACCTCAGAGGGGAGGCCACGCTGAAGTGCATAGCCAAGGAGGCGTGTGCTCAGAGTCAAGTTCCAGTGTGTGATCTGGATGGTGCTAACAGTAGCTTGGGCTTCAGTTGCCAGGTTCTGGGACCAAGTAAGAGGAGTGTCATGTGAAATGCACAACAAAATATAAATCTCTAAATGAAATCTCCCCATCTGCACGAGACTGAACTCAGTCTGTTTCGCTTTGTGTTGTCTCCCTTGGAGTTTGGTTTGGGCTTAGGAGAGGCCCAGAGAGTGGTTATTTTCTTTTAGGACAGGGCTTCTCACCCTTACCACCACTGACACTTGGGGCCAGGAATAGAGCCTTACCCGCTATCCTGCCGCTGGGGTGCACACCTCTCCACAGATGCGTGGATGACATGACCGCGGGAGTATAGGTTATGAAAGGAGGGTCTGAGGCCCTGCTGCACGGTCACCAGCCTTGGTGAGAACGAGGGTATGCTTGAGGTCATATGTCACCCCCATGACGTTAGCGTGGCACACTGACCGTATCTGAAGCGCTGGGGCATACACCTTCCTGAAACTTGGCCCTTGCCCTTGAAGAGAGTGGAAGGAAAGCACATGATGTGAGTTATACCTGAAAGCTCTCTGGCCAATATATAGAAAGAATAGGAATCAGTACTGAATTTCCACTGCCGAATTTGACACAAAGAAGGCATGGAGATGAACAGTTTATAAGTGAAAGAAGCATACATGAAACTATAATGTGGGTCTCACACAGACTTGCTGGGCCTGAAGAAGCACAACTTAAAGTAACTCCCAATACCACAGTATGTCCATAAACTTAGGCAGAATAAATAAACTTATCAAAACCCATATTGTTGGGGACTTGGGGAAATGAACTCTTTTAAACATTGCTGGTGACATACCTGGGACTCAACAAATGTTGAATGAGTCTTTCCGGAGTGTTCTCTGACAAAAAACAATAAGCCTGAATATATCGCTTTTTCCCCTAGTAATCAAGTAGTTTTATTTTTGAGACTGACTTAAGAATTTAACCCTAAAGGAACCAAAAAAGAATTTATACAGTATGTGCACAGCAACGCGATTTATTCTAGTGAAAAATTAGATCTTAAATGGTTTATGAGAACTAAATGAACTGTATTGTCATGCTGTTAATTAAAAATTGCATTATGTTAAAGTGTTAATTAAAAATTACATTTATAACTGTGCTGATAATGGAAAGTAGATATGGAATGATGAATTAAAAACAATGCACATTTTGTGCATCATGAAATCAGCTATATATGTGATAAATAGGAAAGACCAGAAAAGAATTTTGAATGCTGATAATAAAATTTTAAATTTCATTAGGGAGTCTTTTTCTTTTAATATGCTTAAGTTCATAATAAACAAAAATAATTCTGCATTTGGATAATTCTTGCATTCCCTTCCCCATTCCTAAATTTTTTTTTTTTTTTTTTTTTTTTGCTACCTATCTCATGGAGGAACTGATCAATTTAGGAGGAAAATAACCATGTAAATTTTAATTTATTTTTTTTTGTAAATTTATTCATTTATTTATTTTTGGCTGCATTGGGTCTTCATTGCTGCATTCGGGCTTTCTCTGGTTGTGGCTAGTGGGGGCTACTCTTCGTTGTGGTGCACGGGCTTCTCATTGCGGTGGCTTCTCTTTGTTGCGGAGCATGGGCTCTAGGCATGTGGGCTTCAGTAGTTGTGGCACATGGGCTCAGTAGTTGTGGCTCGTGGGCTCTAGAGTGCAGGCTCAGTAGTTGTGGCTCATGGGGTTTAGTTGCTCCGCAGCATGTGGGATCTTCCTGGACCAGGGCTTGAACCCATGTCCCCTGCTAGGCGGATTCTTAACAACTGCGCCACCAGGGAAGTCCTTTAATATTTCGTTAAGACGCATTTTTCTACAATCTGGGAAAAATATTTACAGTGCATATTATAGGCAAAGGATGAACAACCTGAGCATATAAAGAGCTCTTAGGGATCAATATGGAAAGGATGAGTAGAAAATGGGCCCAGGATATGACCAGGCAGAAGAAATACAAATGTTTCAACCTCACTATAATTGAATAAACACAAATTAAAATAATGAGAAATCATTTTCATCTATCAGTTTGGTGGTGGTACTTTTTAAATGTTGCCTGGAGTGTTAGGAACCAGGCACTTATAACATTTTTTTTAGTGGTTGATTTATTTATTTACTGCTACAGGCACATCCATTGCCCCCTTCCCATTTACCCACCCCCACCGTACACAAGGTTGGATGATTTGATTTAAGAAGTCTGCGGCATATAGTCATTTATTATACCAGGCACTTATACCTCTTAATAGGAGCAAATATTGGTATAATCCCCTAAAACACAATTTGTTAATATGGATTAAGTCCCTTTAAAAAGTGGTTGTACTCAATGACCTAGTTTCACTTCAAGTAATTTCCTTTCAGTAACTCATCATAGTGTACAGAAATTTTTAGCTATAGATTATTAATGAGAGCATTATTGTGATAGCAACCAAAAAAAAAAAGAAAGGAAACAATCTAAATATTTAAAACCAGAAGATTCAATAAAAAATGATTATGTAATCCACAAAATAGTATTCTAGGTAGCACTGAAAATCATATCAAAATTATTTTGTAACTCCCAGTATAATAATTGATTCAGGCAAGGATCATTCGTGAAACCTAAAACCACTTAGGGAAATGTTTTGGAGAACAGGATGTTCACAGGATCCCAAGTGTCACCCACAGATTACTTCTAATTACAAAGGGGAAAATGTACCTTTAACAGGGATCAAAGTGTCACCTGTCATAGAATGACCTTTACACAGCCTTTTGCTGTGATGCAACAAGAAGTACATAGCATCACCCTGCAGTGACCTGCCAAAAATTAGTGTTCTTTGAGCAAGCAACTAGGCACATCCAGAATGTGGGACCTTCTACGACAGAGGTTGGCAAACTAGAGCAGAGCCCATGGTCCAGTTCTGGTACAGCCCTCGAGCTAAGAATGGTTTTTACATTTTCAAGTGATTGAAAACAATCAAAAGAAAAATAATATTTTGTGCATATGAAAAATATATGAAATTCAAATTTTAGTCCATAAACAAAGTTTTATTGGACGACAGCAATGCTTATTCATTTGCATATTGTCTCTGGGTGCTTTTATGTTACGGTGACAGAGCACCAATTAAACAACTTGTCTCCCCCCAAAGAAGAATTCTTTTCATCTCACTAGTTGACCTGTGTTTTAAAAATTATATTCAATTATTATTATTTTGCTTTGAATTTCATCAATAAAAATTTTGTGGGAATTTGTTTTCTTTTTTGCTATATCGTACTTACAGAACATCCCTAATTTTGCCTCTTGGCCCACAAGGCCTAAAATACTTACTATCTGGCCCTTTACGGAAGAAGTTTTGCCAACACGTGTACCTACAAGATAGCTGGCTTCATTCAGCCTTCCTTTTGTCACCAGCAGCCAGTGATCTTGGTACACTTGCATCAGATCATGTCCCCTTCCCCATCACTTTTCAAGGGCTTCCCATCCCCCTCTTAACTGTGGGCCGCTCCACTTGCATGACCCGGCCCCTGCCTACCTCTCAGACCTCATATGGTGCCCCTCTCCCCATGTCTTCTACTCCAGGACTTTAGCATGGCTGTTTCTTCTGCTTGGAAAGCTCTTTCTGCTCAGCTCAGCCCAGGTGTCCCTTCCTCGAAGCATCATTTCCTCACACCCCACACTGGCATTCATAACATACTTTTAAACCCCTCCTTCATAGCAGTTATCAGTTTTTCAGTTAGTTTTTATTTGACTGGGGTCCACATTTTCTGTTTTGTGGTCTTTTCTGTCCCTAGTGCCTGGCTCACAATAGCTACTCATTGAATGAATGGATGGATGGATGCATGACTGAATGAATACCTGTGTAAATAGCATTAGGAAATGGAGTTAAACTCTTCATAAGCAGTGTTCAGGACTTTAAACATCTACGCTTATGGACCAGCATGGCAGATTTTATTATATGGAATCTTTGCAAGGAGGGGGCATTTTGTGTGATATGTCTGATCAGGTTTCACCTTAGCTCTGGAAGATCTGGGGATTAGACCAAGGCTAAAAGTGTTTTGATTTTTCCCTCCTAACCTCTCACCTTTCCCCTTCCTGCCCCTCCCATTCTCGTCTCCTCCTCTCCCTGATGTGCATCCTTTGGAACTGAGAAAAGGGCTGATGGGCCTTGCTGAAGTTCTGAAGCAGGCTCTAAGTGAAAGCCAGACAGCCCTCGTCATCTGGTTTCCCTTCTTTTCTTGCCCCTATTTCCCTGTCTTTTGAGCACTACTCCTTTGTCTCATCCCTTTGAAATCCAGAAACCATATAAAAATTGCCCACATGGTACATTGGTCCACTTATAATGAAATTATTGTTGCTTTGGTTACACGATGTAACTTCTTAAAAAAATCTAAAGAAAATACAATGGATTTGATTTTTGAAATGCAGCAAAATTTTTACTGAGCTTTTGTTTTCAAATCTTCTTTGGCCCCTTGGTAGTGTCCAAGACGTGAGAAGGAACTCCTTGAGGGTCTGTGATTTCTCTTCTTTTTTGCCCCAATTGTGTAACATTATCTACAAAAGAGGAAGGGACTATATGGGTCTCTGACCAGATGATAAATTCTTTGGAGTTGGGTTGCCTAGGCAAAGCCTAAAAGAAGATTTG